TTGTATTTTTAAAAACAATTATTTTCAATGTGCGGAAAATATACTCTAGCTTGGAGCTGGAAATAGTAATTTTTCCTAAATAAGTGAAAGTTGCTTTAGTGCTTGCAAAGAATTCCTTAAGTTTAAATTTGGTGTCTACTGGCTTTCTGCAACAGATCATCAAATCCAAGGATGAGTGGCAAAACAATAGACTCCCAAAATTCTACTTTTCTTAGAAATATATTTTTCTAACTATATTTGACGGTGTCCTAGTCAAGTCCTATTAATTTATACATCAAAAATAATAGTCATATTATGAAAAGCTGCCTTTTATTAGGCAAGCTGCTTTTCTCTTTTCCAACTTGAGAAACACATCATTTCTCAGACTGTTGCAAAAGGCCAACCTAAGAACTCTTATATACATATCCATATATATATATATACACATATATATATATATATTTTTTTTTTAGGCTAGTGAAGTGAAGCAGTGGGAGTGGAAAAGGAACAAAGGAATCTGTAACTGATTGTGATCAATTAGTTGTAAACACCACTGCACTCAGACCAGCCAGAACTAAGAAGTCTTCCTTCTGTACTCACACTGGATGTGTGGTTTTCATCTTTAACCACTTTGGGACCAATGTCAACTATAGTCGATAGCCACAGATGAACGTGCACAGAGACTAACTGACAGCTGTGATATGACTTTTCTAATTTTTCATTTATCAAAATAAAATTGTGAACATTTAAAAATAATGTAACGAAAACATGTATGTATATGTTACCTATTCTGATTTACAAGTAAAGCTGCCTGTAAAGTAAAACAAGTTTTCAGTGCTTTAAAGCTTTCCTCATCACACAAGAGCAAAACGGATGCATCGTCAATGCACAGCACAGACTGTCGTGCGGACTGTGAGTGCCGGCTGCGGGCAAGGTTTCTTGGCCGGTGAGCGCCGTACCAAAGTGGTTAATATAATGTGTATTCACTTTTTAAAAGGCCTATCCCATACTGAATTGTGGGAACCTATGAAGTGTCTTTTAATGTCAACACAAACTCGAATGAATGAAGATGAAAGCAATAGTGGCTATAGATGTTGATTTCTGAAAGTATATGACTACTTGACTCAAAACCAAAACCAAATTTGAATCTGGTAGAGGTCTACTACACAAACTCTGAAATTAAACACTAATATGACTGTTACTAGGAAAGGGCAACTCCTTTAAGTAAAAAGGTAACATACAATTTATTAGGTGGCTGGCTCTCTGCCAACTTTCATATCAAAACAAGAGTTAGGCCTGGCCTTGTGTGATCTTCCAACTACTTACTCTTTTATGAAGAATGATGACCGAATCAGTTGGTTGAGTTTGTTGAAGAGTTCAAGTCCTGAGGATTCACTCTTTCTCAGTTAATGTCATATATGTGTAAGGTGCCTAGATAAGGTCAGAGTATAGGGATCTATAGTCTGTGGGTACATATAAAGACCAATGATGAAATGAAGCAACACTGTTTTAAAAGACAGGGTCTCACTATGTTGCTCAGGCAGGTCTCAAACTCCCGGGGCTCAAGTGATCCTCCTACCTCACCCTCTCAAGTAACCGAGACTACAGGTACATGCCACTGTGCCCAGCTAGGGACAATGATTCCTAAGCCTCTGCTAGCTATCCTAGGATTGTTTGTTAAATATTATGGCATTTTTAAAAAGTGATCCAAATATATTTTCTTGAAAGAAATGTTTATTATCTTTATTGATGAAACAGTTTCAATCAAATCCAGAGCAAGTTTTCACATTTTCAGCCTTTAGTGCAAAGGCAATATGTCATGCGGGAAATAAAATGCTTATCCAGTGGTGCTCTCCTCTGAAATATATTAGGATGCTCAGGCAGAAAACAACTTATGTTACAGAAATCTCATAAATCTGCTTAAAAAGGACATGATTTAAACCCTCATATTAAGGTTTTTCACAACATAAATATGTTTAAACAACTTATAATTCAACTTCTTAATTTTAAAACAAAACACCCCAAGAATCAACTATCCCTTTAAATAAAAAAAATAATCAATTTATACTCTTCTTAAAAGAACTCCAACAATTTAAAATAAGTTCCAATTCAATATATATATGTACATTTATAACTTAGGTGATTTTGCGCTATATACTTTTATTCATGCAACAGTGACAGAGGACTGGACTTGAGGCTCTAAAGAGGCCTTTCTGAGAAAGCTGTGTAGCTCCTCACTCTGGCAAAGAACAAGGGAGTGTACATCTTGTCAATCTCAAAAGCACTGACTGCAGTCTCACCAGTTGATCTGGAAAGAAAGCACAAAATTACTAGTACCAGGAAATTTCAACACATTTAAAATCTTTTTGTGTTTGGCCGGGTCATTTTATGCTTTAGCCTTTTTCATTTTTAATTCATCTGGTTTTTTGTGTGTGGTTTTTTTTTTTTTTTGAGACAGAGTTTTTCTTTGTTGCCCAGGCTAGAGTGAGTGCCGTGTCATCAGCCTAGCTCACGGCAACCTCAAACTCCTGGGTTCGAGCAATCCTACTGCCTCAGCCTCCCAAGTAGCTGGGACTACAGGCATGCGCCACCATGCCCGACTAATTTTTTCTATATATATATATTAGTTGGCCAATTAATTTTCTTTCTATTTAAAGTAGAGATGGGGTCTCGCTCTTGCTCAGGCTGGTTTCAAACTCCTGACCTTGAACAATCCACCCACCTCAGCCTCACAGAGTGCTAGGATTATAGGCGTGAGCCATCGTGCCTGGCCAATTCATCTTGATAAATTCTAAACAATATAGGCATATTGTAGAAAACTTGAAAAATTTAGAAAAGTATACAGTTTTGCATAATTCTACCACCCAGGTAGAACCATATGAAGTACTTTCTTCTAGAGTTTCTTGAGATCATACTCGTATTGGTAATTCTGTTTTTCTTTATTATTTTATTATTATTTTCCTGAGATTGTATTATTTTATTATTATTTTCCTGGCACTCTAACCTAGGCATTCTGTTGCCTAGGTTAGAGTGCCATGGTGTCAGCCTACCTCACAGCAACCTCAAACTCCTGAGCTCAAACAATCCCCCGCCTCAGCCTTCGAGTAGCTGGGACTACAGGCATGTGCCACCATGCCCAGTTAATTTTTTCTATATATTTTTAGTTGTCCGGCTAATTTCTTTCTATTTTTAGTAGAGACGGGGTCTCACTCTTGGTCACGCTGGTCTCAAATTCCTGAGCTCAAACGATCTGCCTGCCTCAGCCTCCCAGAGTGCTAGGATTACAGGCATGAGCCACCGCACCCGGCTTCATTTTGGATATTTTCTTGGTTTGAGGTAGTATTATACTGTGATTTTGCTTTATAATGTAATGTGGTTTTTTTGGCTTTTATTTTTGTTTGTTTTTTTGAGACAGAGTCTCACTCTGTTGCCTGGGCTAGAGTGCTGTGGCGTCAGCCTAGCTCACAGCAACCTCAAACTCCTGGGCTCAAGCAATCCTCTTGCCTCAGCCTCCCGAGTAGCTGGGACTACAGGCATGCGTCACCGTGCCTGGCTAATTTTTTGTATATATATTTTAGTTGGTCAATTAATTTCTTTTTATTTTTAGTAGAGACAAGGTCTCACTCTTGCTCAGACTAGTCTCAAACTCCTGAGCTCAAGCAATCCTCCCGCCTCGGCCTCCCAAAGTGCTAGGATTACAGGCATGAGCCACCGCGCCCAGCCTAGAAAACACTTGGAATTTTTTTGAGAGACAAAGTAGTAACTAGTGAAGGCTGTAGAAAAAGCACAGAGTATGACTTATCTTTTGCAATAACAGTAAAGTATTCAGTGGAAAAATAGCCATGACAAGGTTCATTAGAATCACATTTCTGCAAATACTGCTGTTAAAAACACAAAAATGTAAATGCTGTGAATAGTTTCATTATATTCTATTCTGAAGAAAAAACAGGCACTGTAGATGGGAATTGCTAAACTCTTTCTATTAGATAAAACCTAAGCAACTGGGGCCTCACAATTCCCCAATTTTGAACTCAGGAAACTCAGTCAAAGCAACTATCTCTGCCTCTCAGACTGCTGCCCTAGCCTCCACGAGCCTACCAGAGGGAGGTGAAGATGCCAGCAACAGGTGGCCACTGGTGATAGGACTCACAGATGAAACCCTGACCTAACCATCTTGGTACATGATGTTAGAGAAGAGGTGGGGATTTCATACGAGAGAACTTTCTTTCAAAAACTGTTATTATAAAGGCAACAGGCAAATATTCTAATATATATGGGGGTATAAGTGTTAAGGTTACGTATATTACCCATGCTCCCCCCCCCCAGTCAGAGCCTCAAGCGTGACCATCCCCCAAACACTGCACATCTCACTCATTGTGTTTGTATATACCCATCCCCTCCTCCCCACTCCCACCTGCCTGTATATATTAATATTATAGTTTTCAACCAGGATTTTAAAAGTGCATATGAAGAAAGATTGTGGAAAAAAATTGGGTCTTCAGTTTAAGAGAATTTAAAGCACTCTAGAATGTAATGACATCAATAATCATATTTACCTGGCATTTTTTCCTTTTATAAGAATAGGAAGAAGGAAATTATCTTTCTTTCACTTATTTCCAATAGAAACTGAAGTTCTAAGAACATCCTTGTGAAAGAATTATCTATATAAGCTAATTTAGGAAAGAAAAAAACCTTGTGACTCAAAATGAGAAAAGCCAAAAACTACATTCAGGTATAGTTATTTCATAGGAGATTGTGGCTTCACATTTTCATATGTAAAAACACTGGACCATAATAAAAGGAACTATATGAAGAAAAACAAATAAGCTGATACAATAAAAATTAACTACATCTTAGAAAACTCTCCAGCTTTCTTTAGTAATATACTAGAAGTCAACATACACTTTGTATAATAATGTAAGTAATGAAACAGCATTTGTTTATTCCTTCTAATTAAGAATGGTTGAATGAACAGGGTATTGAAATAAAAAGAAAACTGTTAATTCCACTTGTATACTCACTTCTTCTTTTTTCTTAGTTATTACAGCAAATACTTTGGTCTGATTGTCTGTATCTTGTGACAAGCGATAATGACCCAGTAGAATTGCATCAGTTCTAAAAGATAAAAAAACACTTTAAGTCTAGGAAGCAAGGAATTACAACAGTGTTTACTAAACTTGCTTGAAAAGAATCAGCCAGGATGTAAGTTAATCTTGATTTCAAGGCCCCAAAGACCTTGCTAGTGAAGTACACTCTCTAAGAAGCAGCCCAGGAATTGGTATTTTTCACAAGTGCCCCCAAATGATTCCTTTTAAAATCATCCAGTATTAATCGAGGAGGCACTGGGTTACATTAACCCGCAAATAACCATATAAAATGTGGCCTAGACAGAAAGCCATAGAAAAACACTACCTGGTATTCCTAGTTCTTAATCGAGGAACAATGGACTGAGGCTCCTCAGGGGTTGTCAACATCATCACACTGCCATCAGGAAAGAATCTTATGTACCTATGTAAAAACACAAAAAACACCAAAACACACCACACACACACACGAAGTATAAAACATGTCCTTATTTATCAGCACCTAAACCTATTCACAGCTATGAAACCAAAACTAAAATACCAAGGGCCAAAGAACTGATAAAACATTAAAACCAAATGTGGGCCGGGAGTGGTGGCTCATGCCTGTAATCCTAGCACTCTGGGAGGCTGAGGCAGGAAGATCGCTCGAGGTCAGGAGTTTAAAACTAGCCTGAGCAAGAGCAAGACCCCATCTCTACTAAAAAGAGAAAGAAATTAATTGGCCAACTAAAAATATTTAGAAAAAATTAGCTGGGCATGGTGGCTCGTGCCTGTAGTCCCAGCTACTCAGGAGGCTGAGGCAGAAAGATCGCTTGAGCCCAGGAGTTTGAGGTTGCTGTGAGCTAGGCTGACGCCACGGCACTCTAGCCTGGGCAACAGAGTAAGACTCTGTCTCAAAAAAAAAACAACAAAAAAACCCCCTGAATGTGACTGACAACCTGTTAGTCTGGCAACAAAGAACTGAAGACATTTTATGATCTTCCTTAGGGGAAATGGAACTGGTGAACTTACAATTTCACTCACTGAGTAAAAGTTAGAATAAATGTTACTTCATTAAAGTTCTGTGTTTTTCCTACAGCACTAATGTCAAACAAAAGTGAGATCCTAAAATAATACAGTGATTAACATATCTTTATTTTTCAATGACAGTAATATTTGGTAAACAACAGAAATGAATAAAAAGCACAAGCTATTTGGAAAGGCAAATGAGTATACCCAAAAGACAATGAGAACTCTAAAATATGGAGGTGAGAAGGAATTATATATTTATATTAACCAATTGGTTTTTTGAGTACAATTCCTATGTTGTAATAATGGATAGAAATACTGAGGGTCATTTTGTGATTAAATCAAAAGCAACAAAGAACAGACGTCCATATAACTAATGAGCTAATTACGTGGAGAGAGAGAATTTTCCACTCACTCAGTTTACTACAGTTGTACCTGTAATATTCCACTTGGTGCCAGGCTCTATAGAAACCATCAAGAGACTGTTCCCCTTGACGAATATATGTTGTTTTACTGATATACACTCCTATTAAGAAAAAAGATTTTTTAAAAGAACATAAAAAACCTTTAAAAATTATAGTCCTATAACACACTTCCAGTTTTATTTTTATTATGTTTTCCCTTAAATATGCACATAGTACTTAGGTCCATTACAGAAAATTTAAACTATGTATTTATCAAAATCAGCATTACAGATTACCATTTCTCCTGAGTTCTACAGAGTTCAGCTTACCATCAAACCGAACACGAGGCCGTTCTAAAAACATCTCTCTCCAGGATGTGTATGGAACAAGTTTAATACAGCTTCTGCCCCAAACTTTTAAGCAGGCCAGACGCCAAATTTCAGGGTCTCTAGGGAATAAAGCATGACATCAATAAATATAAAAGCCTAAGTCCCTATATGCAGACATAAATATTTTTGCTATCAGCCATCTTTTATTCAGTAAATATTTATTATGCACCTGGGAGGCACTGTTCCAAGGACTTGGGAGGGATGGATGAACAAGGCAAAGGCCCTGCTCTTTCCCTGGTGGTAAAGCAAACAGAGAGAAGCTTTAGGTAGTATGCTCAGTGCAAGAATCAACCAAAAGACTAAGGGGAGTCAGCAAATAGAAATGACAGTGGTGAGGAAATAGAGACTATTTCAGACAGCGCAGCTGGGAAAGGCCTCTTTGGGAAGGTGACAATAGTCATGGGAAAAGTAACCCCAGCAGCAGCCACGGCAAGTGCAGGGCGCTGAGGCAGGAGTGTGACTGGTGGACTCACTAAAGTGAGCCAGGCGAAGCATGGACTAAATGATCTGAGAAATAGCCAGGGATAGATGAGGTAGGATCTTGCAGGTGGGAGTGGCTATTTATATGAGATGTTGCCACCAGAGGGTTTTGACCATGATTTATGCTTTTAAAAGATCATTCTATTGGATTTATGAAGAACATGCTCTAGGGGTATGAGTGGAAGCAGGGAGACCATGTAGGATGCCACGTCATAATCCAGACCAAACACAACAGTGGCTGACTCAGAATAATAGTTGTAGAAGTGGTGAAATGGTCAGAACAGAAGTAAATTTTGAAGGTAGCATCAATAGGACTTTGTTATGAAATTAGTGCAGAAAGCTAAGTTAAACATGTATTTAAAGTTGACATGATTCTGATATAGCTCAAAATATTTTTAACTCCATCTATAATTTAAAATATTATTTTGTTTTTTAAAAGAGATGGGGTCTTGCTATGTCACCTAGGCTGGTATGCAGTGGCTATTCACAGGCATGATCCCACTACTAATCAGCACGGGAGTTTTGACCTTCTCTGTTTCTGACCTGGGTCAGTTTACCTCTCCTTAGGCAACCTGGTGGTCTCCCACTCCCTAGAGGTCACCATATGGATGCAAAACTTAAGAGTGGACACCTGATCAGCATAGTACACTATAGCCCAGAATTCCTGGGCTCAAGCAATCCTCTCACCTCAGCCTCCCGAGTAGCTGGGACTACAGGCATGTGCCACCACTCATAGCTTAATATTAAGTTTTTTGTTTTTTTTTTTTGAGACAGAGTCTCGCTTTGCTGCCCAGGCTAGAGTGAGTACCGTGGCGTCAGCCTAGCTCACAGCAACCTCAAACTATTGGGCTCAAACAATCCTCCTGCCTCAGCCTCCTGAGTAGCTGGGACTACAGGCATGTGTCACCATGCCTGGCTAATTTTTTCTATATATTTTTAGTTGGCCAATTAATTTCTTTCTACTTTTTAGTAGAGACAGGGTCTCGCTCTTGCTCAGGCTGGTTTCGAACTCCTGACCTTGAGCAATCCGCCCGCCTTGGCCTCCCAGAGTGCTAGGATTACAGGCATGAGCCACCACGCTCGGCCTTAATATTAAGTTTTAAAGGAGCAAAAACTACTTATATTAGCACTGGACCACAAAAGATATATCCCCCCAAATTTATGTTGAAATGTGCACTTAAAATGTCTTCTTTTGGACATTACTTTTACTTGATGATGACACAAAGTTTTATTCCTGAAAATTCCTGCTTTCTTAACCAATCCCTTCTTTATTATGTTTTCTCATGTATAATTACAAGTTAATGGAATAACTGTGAAAGTTGTCAAAATCAAAATGGAATCACTAATATTAAGAAAATCCTGACAACTGTAATCCTAGCACTTTGGGAGGCCAAGAAGGGAGGATCACTTGAGGCCAGGAGTTTGAGACCAGCCTCAGTAATAGCAAGACCCCATCTCTACAAAAAAAATTAAAAAAAAAAAAATTAATGATGAAATAAAAATTTCCAAAATTCTAATAAAGAAACTGATGGGTTCATTAAACTGCTAGTTAAGAAAAAGCAAAACAAAAAATTAACTACATGAAATTGATGGAGGTAATTAAAGATGTTTTTAAGACTTTTATTTAAAACACTGTTGGTTCTTTTCTTAAATGTTTTATTTTCCAGATTTAAGGAATTTTTCTCTCATAAGCTATCTATCATTTACAGTAATTTGGTAAAGCATACTTTTGTGAATACAGGTAGAAGCGTTTGCTTTTTCACACTGCTTGATTCCTCCAAAATTCAGAAACAATTCATAAGTATTCTTATTTACATAAGTTCAATAAAAATCTACTCTCTCTTTATAAATAGGATACAATTGTAAACATTGGTTATATTACCAAGGTTGACTGAAATATCATATTTAATAATGTGTATAAAATACCTGGCTTCAAGAGTTCTCAGCCCTTAGAGTGAGTAAAAACTGTCACTTCCTGGCAAGCACAAGGAACCTTAAGCATGCAAGTAAAATCTAAAGTCTGCTTTGGTTTGGCTTCCTAGCCTCAAGATGTTTTTAAATCCAAGATTCCTATATAATCAACATACAGAAAAAAAGTTGTATTTCTAAAGAAAAACTATAATACATCTGTTATCAGACTATGGTCTTGTGCATTGTTTTTAAGTTCTTGTTATCTACCTGAAGACTGGATTAGTTCCTGAATTTGCCTAATTTCCTCCAATATTTGGTTATACTCCAACTGAAAACAAAAGCTGCTCTGTTCCAAAAGCCCTATAAGCTGAAACTATTCAAATTTTAAAATATGAGCCTCATGCCTGATGTATGGGCCACGTAAAAAGTTCACTAAACAGTCCAACATCATGACTACAGATATTAAAACTATGAGTAAGGAGGAGAAGTTAATGTTTTCATGTTGTAGACAGCTATTCCTAAGACATACAAAGATTTTTACCCCCTTCTTAATGCTACCCTTTCCACTTGAGAGGATGACGGTGTAATTCTGCAGTCCCCAACCCCCATCCTCAGAGCAGTACCAGTCTGTGGCCTGTTAGGAACCTGGCCGCACAGCAGAAGATGAGCAGGCGAGCAAAGCTTCATCTGTATTTACAGCCACTCCCCATTGCTTGCATTGCTGCCTGAGTCTTGCCTGCCCTCATCCATGGAAAAATTGTCTTCCATGAAACTGGTCCCTGGTGCCAAAAAGGCTGGAGACCACTGGAATTGAAATTTCACAATCAATAGCTTCTGCTGGTAACTTAACAGAACCTAACCTAAGACATCGTTCGGTATCCATTGGTTAAATAAGAAAGTGTGCTATTGCTACTACCACATGCTATACCTGCAAAAATTCCTCTAGGAAATTTGAGACCCATATACATAAAATAAGAAAACAAGCCACATGGTTACAACAGTCTCACCTAATTCCCTACAGTCATTTGATTTATTCAAATAGTTGTCTTTAAGCCTAGACACATGGTTCAAAACCATTATGCAAACCAGAATGTCATAGTACTATTAATTTTACTCTGTATTTTCCTTTTTCAAATTTTGCATCTATTACTTGCTAAATTTTTATAGAAGCACAACTCCTAACAAAATAATCTTGGCCTAGCACTTTGAGATGATAACAAAACACTATGGAACAGACAAAATTGAACTTAGTAATGGATTCCAGGTAGACTTAGCCTGGGAGCCACTTTCTTCAAAACTCCCTTATTTCTCAAAAGTAGTTAAAAGGGCTGTGACACTGACTCCAGTTGCCAATCACTTCCCCCCATGGGGATGAGACCAGCAACCAAGACAGGTTCATCCTGGCACTGTGGGATGTCAAAACCTAACTACAGGATAACTTACTAATGATACTTTTGAAGAAAGATCTTGATGAAAAGGGCAAAATGGGCCAGGCGTGGTGGCTCACGGCTGTAATCCTAGCACTCTGGGAGGCCCAGGTGGGTAGATTGCTCGAGGTCAGGAGTTTGAAACCAGCCTGAGCAAGAGCGAGACCCCGTCTCTACTTTAAATAGAAAGAAAATTAATTGGCCAACTAATATATATAGAAAAAATTAGCTGGGCATGGTGGCACAAGTCTGTAGTCCCAGCTACTCGGGAGGCTGAGGCAGTAGGATCGCTTGAGCCCAGGAGTGTGAGGTTGCTGTGAGCTAGGCTGACGCCACGGCACTCACTCTAGCCTGGGCAACAAAGCGAAACTCTGTCCAAAAAAAAAAAAAAAGGTGGGGGAGCAAAATGTAAAAGTTGTTAAAATCAAAATGAGATCATCACTACTGTTAAGAAAACCCTGACAAAAAGAGCCAAGGAAGATCATGGAGAGAAGGTTATCACTTCTCTTGTGTGCCTGATAACAAAAAGACTCTACAAAAAACAAACCCTGTACAAAGGCCATTGCAACCTTACACAAATAATACTTTCTGAGGAAATCTGCCCGGCAATAGCCTGTCCAACCTCAAACTGTTATCACCCTTGTTATTGATCTTTGTAGCCAAGGGTAATTATTTCAAAACAATTATGTAATCTTCATTATTTTTTCTTTAAAAACCTTTGTCTTCCTTTACACCTCCCTGAATATGTACACAGTATTTCCATTGGGCATATGTATTCATACTGCAATGTCCTATTTCCAAATAAATGTTTTCTTTAGAGAACTTCTCTCTGTTATTTAGGTTAACATAACAATTCTAGAGACTCAAATTTCAAAAGGTTGGTGGCAAGACACTACATATTTAATAGATGCTTGTTTCAGCATTTTGAATATTTTATGAGAAATACAAGATTCCAAATGGAATCTTTAAATAAAAGTTATTTAAAAATAATGTATCTGAATTTTAAAAACTAGAGTTATAAAAAAAATTCTAGATGCTAAGGACTAAGTATATATTTCTATATGAGATATCCATGAAAGATGAATCTCTCATGATTTTAGATTGAACTATGATTATTCTTCACATAGCGAGATTTAAAAATATAGGATAACGTTTAAGGAGCCAAAAGTACAATCATTATCACTCAATGGGTTTAGAGTTACTATAAAAATGACTTTAATACATTTTTATAATATAATTGTTTTTTCCAAATTAGCTAAGCTAGCCTGTAATCCCTATGGAAGTGATATGTGTGAACAGATGTAGAACATTTGTTCTACATATTATTCTATACCCTGGAAATGTAAAACATTCTAGCTTTTAAATGCTAAATTGTTTGAGAAAATCACATTAAGCACAGCTTAGCAAAACTTCTGTTTGTTCTAAGTTTTTACCCAGAACATCAATCAAGTTCTTTTATCAAAATCGGCAAAGAAATTTAATTGTTTTCACCACTGCCTGAGTTAAGAAAAAAACAGGACATACCTAGCACAGATGTAGAATCCTCTGCACACCAGCGACAACTGCTCTAATGATCTAAGGTCCAAGTCACTAGACACCACCCACCGGAAGATGTACATCAGGACTTCCATTGGCAGTGCTGCAAAAGAAAATCACTCTTCACTGACTCTTCTATATGTCCTTCTATTGTCACAACCACGTTCTCAGTGCATTAATGCATTCCTAGAAATTTATGAATCAAACTCTTGGTATTGCTCAGAGCTATGGCATGAATGTACTTAACTACCCAATAGTAATTAATGGTTCTTATTACCAAGACACAAATATCTTTATTTTTTCAGTAAAGAATAGATAATGAGCTATTTTTATAAAACACCCTTTTCCCATGAAAGATTTTACTGCTATGACATATTAACATAAATGTGTTAGAAAAATAGTCTACCATATGTGTGTGATCCAAATTGAATTTATTAACAATAAAAAGTTATTTTCATTTCCTTGAAAAGTTTCAATTGTCTTCTCTGAAAAATCCCATAACTAATTAATATTTAACATATGAAAAGAAAACATTTATTTCTAAATATTTAGCCTGTCTCAGGACTACTGTCCAACTTGGCTAAAATGCCTCATGATACCAGTATTCTTCCAATTTTCTTAGGGCTACCTCAACAACTCAGACTCACCCTCTTAGATATTCACTGAAAAAAGTATAACATCCTTAAACAACTGTAGTGTTGTATTACAGACACTGCTCTGCTTCAGATTTTGAAAAGCTTATCAGTATATACAAATAGTGATCATAACTAGATCTCCCACCATATCCTGAACTAGGGCAGCTATTATCTGGCAACTTAACTGACCTTATAAATTTAGAAATCTTTAATCTGAGGTTTATTTTTCATTGAGTAACAAAAACCAAGAATCTACACCTGATATGTGAGTCTGACTGTTCTCAAGCTCAGGCTGACACAGTTTGAGCACAGACTCCTGAAATGTGAGTTGCTGCTGGAAGTAGGACAAGAGATCTGCCATTTTGCTATCATCATCATTATCTTCAATGCTGAAAAGAGAAGGAAGGTGAGCAAATTAAGTGCCTCAGTCTACAAACATATAGTTTAAAAACTAAAACTGATTTTTCATAGCACTTTCAAATTTGCTTTACAAAAAGTCACCTAAAAGCTTATTCAAAATGTGATACTTTTTGAAATGTGATAATAGTTTATCCCACCTTACAAAGTACTACCATACCAAGTTCTTCCAAAGAAAAAAGCTTTGGTAATTACCATTCAGAAAGAATTGGGATTTTTCAGATACAGGTTTTGGGATTTAACTAATTAGTTTTATTGGAAAGCGGAGATTTCAGGAGTTAGTAAAAAATTTCAAATGATTTGAAAGTAATCAAATGTAAGTAGATTCTTTATGTAAGTTTTATGTAAGTAAATTCTTTAAGTGATCCTAATCCATTCTAATTGGATAAAAATCAAATATACAGATGCCACCTGAGGTACTTACCAAGGATTTTCTAATGGATGTGCCTTAACTTATCACCTACCTTTAGGGAAGAAAATACCTAATTTGAAAAAACTTTAGGGTTCATAAATCATCTACCAATACACACAAATGTATAGTTAAGAGTTCTAAAAAATATTTAGTTTTCCATTTTTGCTGAATTAAACCTGAAAGATCATCAGACTTACAAAAAGGCTTATATGAGGATGAATTCAGAAAACCAGGAAGGGCTTTTTATAATACAACAAAAAGCAAGTATGGTTGAGGTTAGAAGGACTCTTAGCTATTCTACAAACACTTTATGGGAAAGGCAAAGAAACATCTAGGGCTTATCATATTTTATTATCCTTAAAGAACTTTCCCAGCCTTTGGGTTTGTATAAAGAGATGAGGAAGAAGAGAAATGCTTCTTTAATATTTTAATACAATCTTTCTTTTTGTAAAACAGAGAAAGCGTCCTGCTGTTCAGGCTGGTCTCAAACTGCTGACCTCAAGTGATCCTTTCACCTTGGCCTCCCGCAGTGCTATTTTCTTTTTCTTTGAGACAGAGTCTCCCTCTGTTGCCTGGGCTAGAGTCCCATGGTGTCAGTCTAGCTCACAGACATCTCCAACTCCAGGACTCAAGTGATCCTCCTGCCTCAGCCTCCGGAGTAACTGGGACTACAGGCACGTGCTACCACACCAGGCTAATTTTTTTTCTATTTTTAGTAGTGACGGGGTCTCACTCTTGCTCAGGCTAGTCTCAAACTCCTGAGCTCAAACGATCCACCTGCCTTGGCCTCCCAGAGTGCTAGGATTACAGGCGTGAGCCACTGCACCCAGCCAATACAACCCTTTTTTAACAGTACTTGGCATCTATTTATAAAACTAAATGTTGTCTACCCAAACATTTAGGTAGGGTCTAAATGACCCTAACCACATTTAAAGAAGGTTTAGAAAAAGCTAAAATCATTAATTTTAAGTATGAACTTCCTCACACTGTTAACTATAATTTGGTGAGCAGTATCACTAGCTGAAAATTCAAACAGTCAATTAATACTGCCTTCAATGAGATGTTTTCAATATAAATTATCCAAAGCTTAAGTGTTAATACCATATGCAGTTTCAAACACTGGCAATAACATATGTTATCAATAAAGGTAACAATTATTTCATGAGAGGTAATATAATAGCTAATATATCTCATTATCAAAACTCTATTTTTCTATGTATTGCCCACTCCTGACATTCTATCATGGGTACTGCCTCTCTTCCCTTCTAATACCAGTAAACTAACTGGCTTTGGGGAATAGAGGGATTAAGCTAAAACAGTTTTATAATTATTTTACTAATAGCTTCAAAAGTATCATCTTAAAAATATGTTCTCTTGATTTCTGTCGATATAAAACAGTCAATGCTATTTCATGCCATTTGATGCAAGTGGCATCTGTACAATGAAACATTACTTCTTTTAGGAATGCTTATATTTAGCACCTGTGCTTTTAAACAAATGTTAGAGTTTAAATGTTCTACCTACATACATTGAGAATAAAATTTTATTACAGTTTAGCATTTTTCTAATATAATTAAAAGCCTTTTATAAAATGTAAAGTTTCAAATATATACAAAAAGAGAGAGACTAGTGAAATAAAAATCCCATGTACCCATTACCCAATTGCAACCATTATTAATATTTTGCCAACTTTGGCCTAATTAGATTTTAATACTTTCTACTTCAAATAGGTTTCAAGACGTTGAAACGTATCCTTTTATTTCTTTCAGTAATCTGCTTTTGTTAAAAAAATAAAAATTAAAAAATACTTTCATCACCTTGTTTTTTATTATCCGTTTAAAACGTGCATTTCTATATGCTAATCTTAAATTGCCCTAATTGAAAAATTTCTACAATTTTATAAACAAGGATATACCAAAGACTATATAGCTTAACAGAATTAGCACCATATTCTTATCATGTTAAGAGTCAACAGGGCAAAGACGCTTAACTTTAACAAACTCTATGCATTACTGTCTATCAAATTATATACGCACTAGCTGTTTCCAACGCCATCACCATCTGGAGACCGGGTATAAGTAATCTTGAACTCTATATCAGGTACAAGTTGCATAGCCCTACGATAAAACTTGATGGCTAAAAGAAGAAATAAAGCTAAATTAGCTATAACCATACATTTTGTCATTTCCTTTGATTACCCTTAACTGTGGTTTAATTTGGTAACTTTCTTTACAAACAGCCAACTTCCCTTTTTCTACATGCAACAGTATTCAGTGAGTGACACAAACTTATTTCCAAACCTTATTCCTCAGAAAGCAGTTTTTCTAAAGCTAACAGGTTATAGAAGTTTAAGACGTTATATTTGCTCTTATCTTTTAGCCCTTTCCATCTTTTTCCTCACCCTCTTATGTATTGTGATTTTTATAGGGTTATCTTTCTTCAGGCTCTGAAAATACAACTGCTATAGCCCCCAACCCTCAAAAAAAAAAAACCCACGCTTTTAAGCAAACTTTTTTCCTAGGACACAGAGTTGAGGAAAATCAAATGCTTCCTATTAGGTGGAATACAAAGAACAACTCTTTGGAATTTATCCTACAAATCCAACTTCCTTTAGCCCACCTGTCTCTTATTTAGTTAAATAACCTTTAAAACCTTTTTTTTTTTTTAAATAAATCTCCTGGTCAGGTGGTTTAGAGCTGTAATATTCAATAATCTCTACCCACAGAGATATACCAACAAAACTTGGGCCTGCAGAGGCCAACTAGCTCTTTTTCCCTTGGATGAAGTCTATTCAATTCATTATAGGCTGCCATGTTCTACTACTGTGGGTGAATTACCATACACTAAATGGAGATGGGAATCTCACAAACTAAGAAAGACTGCATAAGGACTTGACCAATTAGGCTATCTTAAAATCCAAGTAAAAATATCACTAGAAGAAACCTGCACATAAACACAGTAACTCTTAATATTATTTGGGGAGCATTTTCCAATGATTCAAGCACAAGCATTTTTCCCAGGCCCCAATTATTATCTTTACTATCACAAAATGAAAGCATAATTACAAACCTAATATGGTAAACAGCCCTACAATTTTGCTTACCTATACATTTCTAGGGTTAATAAAATAGACAAAGCTAAAGTGCATTGCTGTTGGTAAAATGTAAATTTGAACTTAGGAAAACATCTGTATGTTCCTCAATTTATCCTTTTTTTTAAAAATTTATCCTTTATATTCCCATCCTCTGCAGTAATTTTCACCTATAAAAGGAGCATATCCTGTTTTAAAGTGAATAATTTTTAAGACATTATTAATGAAGAATAAATACTAAAACTGTAGAAAAAGGTTATTTTACTCATCCTACCAATCAATGTGTTGATGATTCCCAGCAACATCTTTTTGTGAAGAGACAGGTTATGTAGAAATACAATTTTTATTATTTTTGATTTCTTAAAAAACAATTTCAAATACAGGTGTCTCTCTATATCTGTGGGTTTCAGATTCTTGGATTCAACCAATTACAGGTCAATAATATTGAGTTAAAAAAATAACAACATGAATTCAAGATATATAACAACTATTTATATAGCATTCACATTGTATTAGTTATTGTAAGTAATCTAGAGATAATTTAAAGTTATGGGAGGATGTGAGTAGGTTATATGTAAATACTACAGCATTTTATACATGGGACTTGAGAATCCCCCAATTTTGCTATCCACAGGGGGGCCCGGGGCCAATCCCCCATGAATATCGAGGGACCACTATACATGAAGACTGATGTTCTGACTAAATACGTTAACAGTAAAAAACAAAATATTGATTAACGGAGTTGTTCTTCAGAAACATCATGAAAATATGATCCTGGGCCCCAAGTTTTTACCTTCATAGAGAGCTCCATTTTGTTCTTCTTCTACTGCTTTTAGGAAGAGTTCTCGAGCCTATAAAAATATAAAGTGACAATTTTTGAAAATCTGTATTAAAATTAGTATGGATGGCAGAAGGGGGCTTTTTCAAAAAATGATGCTTAAACAATTGGATATCCATAGGTAAAATAATGAACCTCGATCTAAACCTCATACCTTACACAAAAATTAACTTGAAATGGATGATAGGCTTAATTGTAAAATGTAAAACCTATAAAACTTATAGAGAAAAAAAATCTTGTAGCCCTAGGACTAGGCAGAGTTCTTATGGTTGATACCAAAAGCACTATCCATAAAAGGAAAAGTTGATAAATTGAACCTCATCAAAATTAAAAAACTGTTGTTCTATGAAATGCCCTATTAAGAGGATGAAAAACCAAGCTACAAACTGGAAGAAAATATTTGCAAGCCACATATTAAACAAATAACTTGTTTCTAGAATACATAAAAAAAACTCTGAAAACTCATCAGCAATCCAATTAGAAAAAGCATAAACAGATATTTCACAGAGAGGATATATAGATGATGGGAAATAAGCACATGAAAAGATACTCAACATCATTAGCCATTAGGGAAATACAAATTAAAATCACAATGAAATATCACCACACTCATCAGAATGGCTAAAATTAAAAAGTAAAGACAAGACCAAATGCTGCTGAGGATGTGTAGAAACTGGATCCCTCATACATTGCTGGTGGAAACATAATATGGTACAGATACTCTGGAAGACAATTTGGCAGTTTCTTTTAAAAATAAGCATTTACCATAGAACCTAGCAATTGCACGCTTGGACACCTATCCCAGAGAAACGAAAATTTATGTTCATGCAAAAACTTGGACCAAGATAGTCACAGCAGCTCTATTCTAACAGCCAAAAATTGGAAACAACTCGAATGTCCTTCAACCAGTAAATACATGGTTAAATGGGGGTACATCCATACTATTCAATACTACTCTGCTATAAGAAGGAACCACTGATAAAACAAGTTGGATGGATCTCATGGGAATTATGTTGAGGGAAAATTGCCAATCTCAAAAGGCTACAAACTGTAGATTCCATTTATACAACATTCTTGGAATATCAAAAGTATTCTGGCCGGGCTCGGTGGCTCACACCTGTAATCCTAGCACCCTGGGAGGCCGAGGCGGGTGGATTGCTCGAGGTCAGGAGTTCGAAACCAGCCTGAGCAAGAGTGAGACCCCGTCTCTACTTTAAATAGAAAGGAATTAATTGGCCAACTAATATATATAGAAAAAATGAGCCGGGCATGGTGGCGCATGTCTGTAGTCCCAGCTACTCGGGAGGCTGAAGCAGGAGGATCCCTTGAGCCCAGGAGTTTGAGGTTGCTGTGAGCTGGGCTGACGCCATGGCACTCACTCTAGCCTGGGCAACAAAGTGAGACTCTGTCTCAAAAAAAAAAAAAAAAAAAAGTATTCTGATTGTGGTGGTGGTTACACAAGCTACATATGTAATAAAACTGTACCGACTATTTATACACATACACACAGATAACTGCTTGTAAAAGTACAGAAGATTTTAGTCATCATGGTAATGTCCATTACTTAGTGATCAATAATTGTCTGTGAACGAAAACTTGGACCTGACGGTATACAGATGACAGCCTCTATGAAGAAGAGAATGACAAAAAGTGAAATGAGGCCAGGCACGGTGGCTCACTATAGCCTGGGCAACAAAGCGAGACTGTCTTAAAGAAAAAGTGAAATGGTGTGCCAAGCCTACTCCATATGAATAAATACCAGGAGAGAGGTGAATAGTTAGACAGTATTCAAAATATTTTCAGTGTGAGCACTTTCAAAATTTTCCAGAATAAAGAAAAGATTAAGGGATGGGCAAAAACCTACTTAACAGGTACAATGAACACTATTTGGGTGATGGGCACACTTATAACCCTGACTCAAGCATTACAAAAGCTATCCATGTAACAAAAACATTTATACCCCCTTAATATTTTTCAATTAAAAAGAAAAAGAAAAACTGTAGTGAAAAGAACACATCAATTGTTTCCAGGATTGATGCCAAATGGCAGTAAGAACCTTTATAGGGTGATGGAATTATTCCATATTATGATTACGGTGGTGGCTTCCCTAATAAAGTTGACAAAAAAATAGAAATGCTTAATACATTACTGTAAATCAATCAACTCAAAACAGAACAAATACTGCATTAAGACCTTTGGAAAGGCATTAACATGTAGGCAAGTTTTTTCCCTTCTGGGCTTCTATTAATAAATTAAGAGGCATCAATCTATTAGAGACCAAATGAATCTCACAGGTCTATACATTAGCAACAGACAGTACCATGAAGATAGTGTACCTACAGGGAAAGAAGCTCATGGAGGAGGAGTGGTATAATCCAAAGTATCTAGAAATTACTGAGGGATGTGTAAACTAATATACTGGTCAAAATTGTCCTCATGTGGAAAAATTTTACAAATTACGTGCTTTATGTCCCAAGAGTTGGATTATTATTACTTAGGTTAGTAAAAGTTTCTATGTGCCTCCAAAAAAGGTAATTTGTTACAATGTCAATAATACTTAACTTTTCTTCTTTTGCCTGTTCTTGTTTTCCTTTGGTATCTGCTGCTGCTTTCAGTAGAGATCCTCTAGCTGCTCTGCAAGGTCGATTTTCTAACTTGCTAGAGCCTACACCTGGGCCAAGTTCAAACATCCACTGAGCTCGGAACATCTGGAGTTGTGCCTACAAGGAGAAAAGTATTTTATGATGCATCGAGAAAGGGTAGCTCAATTCTGGAACAACTTATTAATATATCCAACATTTACTTCCATATATATACTTATTCTACAACCAGAAAACATTGTCTTCTAAATTACTAAATACTCATTAAATGCCTGTTATCTTTTGAAATAATTTTCTGCTTAAAATCTTAACTAATCACGAAAATTAGCCTAAAATATTAATAAGTCAATAGAGCAAAAGCATAACAATATTGGGAACCAAATTTTAATCAGAATTGAAAATATAAGCCAACATTTAGGGACTAAAGCTATAAATTTCCAATAATTTGTTAATGAATATATCATCTAACACACATTAAGAGTGCTGCTAAAAATTCTGTAGGTAAGCACAAAGTCTTACTCTTTTTTTTTGAGATAGAGTCTTGTTTTGTTGCCCAGGCTACTGTGCTGTGGCATCAGCCTTGCTAACAGCAACCTCAAACTCCTGGGCTCAAGCGATCCTCCTGCCTCAGCCTCCCAAGTAGCTGGAACTACAGGCATGCGCCACCATGCCTGGCTAATTTTTTCTATATATATTAGTTGTCCAATTAATTTCTTTCTATTTAAAGTAGAGACGGGGGTCTCACTCTTGCTCAGGCTGGTTTCGAACTCCTGACCTCGAGCAATCCGCCCGCCTCGGCCTACCAGAGTGCTAGGATTACAGGCATGAGTCACCACCCCCGGCCACAAAGTCTTTCTTTAATAAATGTTTTGTATTTCAAAAAGAAAACATCTTTTCTCATACATAGTATTTAAAAAATTTTAGGCTGGGCATGGTGGCTCACGCCTGTAATCCTAGCACTCTGGGAGGCCAAGGCAGGCCTCGGGCGGATTGCTCGAGGTCAGGAGTTCCAAACTAGCCTGAGCAAGAGTGAGACCTCGTCTCTACTATAAATAGAAAGAAATTAATTGGACAATTAATATATATAGAAAAAAATTAGCCGGGCATGGTGGCGCATGCCTGTAGTCCCAGCTACTCGGAGGCTGAGGCAGCAGGATTGCTTGAGGCCAGGAGTTTGAGGTTGCTGTGAGCTAGGCTGACGCCATGGCACTCACTCTAGCCCAGGCAACAGAGTGAGACTCTGTCTCAAAAAAAAACAAAATTTTAAACACATAAAAAGTGAGGTTCCCCTGTATGGTAGACTCTGATGTGCCGCCCAGATTCCCCTACAGGAATAAATAACTATTTACCCCAGCTGCTGGCAGTAATGCCTGAAAACATCCCTGAGTTTCTAGCCCTTTTGGGTATTGCCTCAGCAAGATCACACTGCCTTCTCAATCCCCACACAATGACTGATCAATGGCTGATAAAGACTTGGCTCTCTCTTGCAACTCTGGTCAGCTCTGAAAGGGTACTCCATCTTCAGAACTCCCTGGGGATGGCTAAGGCAGTCCATTAAGACTGCACAGCAGCTGGACTTCTCCCCCTGCCTGCTGCTGTTGCTTCCCTCTCTCCCTTCCATAGGTGTCGATCCCAAGAGCACTTTCTAGTAAACCTCCTGCAAGGCAATCTTCACCTGGGTGGGCTTCCCTTTCCTGGGGAACTGCTTCTCCCAAAGAGGACCACTGCTAACAGGATTGTATATATTATCCCTAGCTTCCTTTTTTTTTTTTTTTTTTTTTGAGACAGTCTTGCTCTGTCACCCCAGCTTGAGTGCAGTGGCATCATCATAGTTCACTGCAACCCCAAACTCTTGGGCTCAAGTGATCTACCTCCTTCAGCCTCTCAAGTAGCTGGGACTATAGGCACACATGACCACACATGGCTAATTTTTCTATTTTTAGTAGAGACAGGGTCTCACTCTTGCTCAGGCTGGTCTCAAACTCCTGACCTCAAGCTATCTTCCCTCCTTGACCTCCCAGAGTGTTCAGAGTGTTAGGATTAGAGGTGTGAGCCACAACACCCAGCCCCTAGCTTCCTTAAAAAAAATACCTAAAATGTTTTTAAAATTAATTTTTCTATATTCTATACACTTTGTTCTCAAACTCCTAAAATATTACACATATATTTCTAATCTACAGAATCTTTAGCAGCATTTAATGTCTATTGAGAATCTATTCCAAATAAATATTATAAAAATTATAAGTTTGGTGAGATGTACTTAATTACAGTGAATTTTTTTTTCCTAGTTCAATGTATAAAAATTTACCTCATCCTTTTAAATGGCTCCAGTGCATTTCACTGCATAGATGCATCATTTCTTGAGCCCAAGTAATGGATATTTGAGTTGTATGTCTTTCCATATATAATAATGCTATAATAAACATCTTTCTACATGCATATTTACTGACTTTCCCCATTATTTCCTTCAGATTAACTTCCTGGAAGTAGAATTGCTGTATCAAAGGGAATACATGGTTTTCATTTTGATCCATATGGACAGTCTGCCCTCCAGAAAAGTTGCAGCAATTTATATTTTCATGTACACTGCATTAGTGTTTTCTCATAGCCTGAAGAGCAATGGACATTATTCACCAATCTGATTAAATTATTAATGAGACTAATTATCTCTTGAAATATTTAGTGGCCATCTATATTATTTTTTCCATTAACTGTCCATTCATATCTTTCTATCCTGTGTTCCTCTTACTAATTTACAAGAGTGCTCTATATACCGAGAATATGAATCCTCTGCCCATATGTGGTAAATGGTTTTTCCAGCTGACTTTTTTTTTTTTTCTGAGACAGAATCTTACTCTGTTGCCTGGGCTAGAGTGTGGTGGCATCATCATAGCTCACTACAACCTCAAGCTCCTGGACTCAAGCAATCCTCCTGCCTCAGCTTCCCAAGTAGCTTGGACTATATGCGCATGTCACCATGCCCAGCTAATTTTTGTATTTTTTGTAGAGGAGGGGGTCTCACGCTTGGTCAGGTTGGTCTTGAACTCCTGGGCCTTTTGTTATATACAGGTTTTAAACTTTTAGGTGGTCATACCTGTCAATCTTTTCCTTTAAAGTTATGAGTTTTGAGTCACACTTAGGCCCTAAATACTTTAAAACCATATACTGAACTACAAGGCAGCAATTACTCATATTTCTTTTTACAGAAAACAGAAATCCATAACATAGTATTCTATAACCCAGTATGAAAACACAGTTAAATTCAATGCAAACAAGAACTTCAAATTTCCACAATTATGGCCAATTTCTACATATGTATGAGAAGCAATGGAATAAGAAATACACAGTTGAAGAAACATGCCTGCAGATCAGTTTCCGCAGGACTTTCATTTTCATCATCATCATCTGCTCTGACAGCATCAGAATGACAATCTTCCTCAGCTTCTGCCTGAGGGGGAAAAAACCCAAATAACATCAGGAATATGCAAACACCAGTTTCCCTTTGTAATTTATATCTCCTATTCAGCTTCTTGCTACTTAGTACCACAAAATCAATAGTTTGTGAAAGCCACTTTGAGTAGCAAGGCTGTGGAGTGCATTGGAGACCTTACTATTAAATATTTCTTTCTTTCTAAGGGAAAATGAGTCTGAAAAACATATCCTCTACTCTAAACCACGGTACTCACATCACCATGAATCTTAACGTTTCCCCCCAAAAAACATCAATTCTGTTCACCTAAAAATATATAATTATGGTCATCCCTCAGCACCCATGGGGGATTAGTTCCAGGATCCCCAAGGATATCAAAATCCACAGATGCTCAAGTTCCTTATATAAAATGCCATAATATTTGCATATAACCTATGCATACCTTCCCATATACTTCAAATCATCTCTAAATTACTTTAATACCTAATACAATGTAAATACTATGTAAATAGTTGTTACACTGTATTTTTAAACTTGTATTGTTTTTGTTGGGTTTTTAAATTTTTTTTTTAGGCTGGTCAAGTGAAGCAGTGAGAGTGGAGAAGGAACAAAGGAATCTCTAACTGGTTGTGATCAATTAGTTGTAAACACCACTGCACTCAGACCAATCTAAAAAAAAATTTTTTTTTTTTTTTTTGAGACAGAGTCTCCCTCTGTCGCCCAGGCTAGAGTGCCATGGCATCTGCCTAGCTCACAGCAACCTCAAACTCCTGGACTCAAGCATTCCTCCTGCCTCAGCCTCCCGAGTAGCTGGGACTACAGGCACGCGCCACCGTGCTTGGCTAATTTTTTCTTTATATATTAGTTGGCCAATTAATTTCTTTCTATTTATGGTAGAGACGGGGTCTTGCTCTTGCTCAGGCTGGTCTCCATCTCCTGACCTTGAGGGATCCTTCCGCCTTGGCCTCCCAGAGTGCTAGGATTACAGGCGTGAGCCACTGCACCCGGCCTAAAAATATTTTTGATCCACGATTGAATCTGAAGATATAGAACCTACAGGTAGAGGGCCAATTGTATTATATACAATAACAGGCCAGACACAGAGGCTCATGCCTGTAATCCCAGCATGTGGGAGAAGAGCTTGAGCTCGGGAGTTCGAAACCAGCCTGAGCAAGAGTGAGACCCCGTCTCTACTAACAAATACTAATTAGCTGAACTAAAAATAAATTTTAAAAAATTAATTAGGCATGGTGGCACATGCCTGTATTTCCAGCTACTTAGGAGGCTGAGGCAGTAGGATCACTGGAGCCCAGGAGGTCGAGGTTGTTGTGAGCTAGGCTGATGTCATGGCACTCTAGCCCAGGTAACAGACTGTCTCAAAAAAAAATAATAATTCAAGTCTATTACTATACATAAATAATTTGATATTTGATTAATGTTAATCAGGTAATGAAGCCAATTCCTCCATCAATATACATCATATAACTACTGATAATAAAAATTGAACTACTGAACAATAAAAATTGTTCTCACTTTTTCTTAGAAAAAGAAGAAATAGTAACACCTTTGGTTTTCTCTTTTTGAGACAGTCTCTCACTTTGTTGCACCGGGTAGAGTGCAGTGGTGTCGTCATAGCTTCCTGCAACATCAAACTCCTGGGCTCACTTGATCCTCCTGCCTCAGCCTCCCAAGTAGCTGGGACTATAGCGGCACACCACAACACCAGGCTAATTTTTCTATGTTTAGTAGAGACAGGGTCAAACTCTTGCTTGGGTTGGTCTTGAACTCCTGAGCTCAAGCAATCCTTCCACCTTGGCCTCCCAGATTGCTAGGATCACAGACGTGAGTCACTACACCCACCTTTTAAAACTTTTTATGAAAAAAATACTTAAACATAAATAGGGTAATTAATCTCTAAGTGCTCATGACACAACTTCAGTAATTATCAATGCAATAATTCCTTTTTTTTTTTTTTTTTGAGAGCTAGAGTGAGACTCATTTTGTTGCCCAGTAGAGTGCCGTGGCGTTAGCCTAGCTCAGAGCAACCTCAAAGTCCTGGGCTCAAGCAATCCTCCTGCCTCAGCCTCCCAAGTAGCTGGGACTACAGGCACATGCCACCATACCCAGCTAATTTTTCTATATATTTTCAGTCGTCCAGCTAATTTCTTTCTATTTTTAGTGAAGACAGTGTCTCACTCTTGCTCAGCCTGGTCTCGAACTCCTGAGCTCAAACAATCCACCTGTCTCAGCCTCCCACAGTGTTAGGATTACAGGTGTGAGCCACCTCGCCCAGCCTAATAATTCCTTAATATCAAATATCATGTCACAGTGTTCATATTTCTCAAAATGCCATATATGTAAAACACACGTTTTACAGTTTGTGAGATCAAGATTCAAGTAAGGTCCACACATTGCAAGTCGTTATGTCTCAAACGTTTGTAATCTTATAATTCTTTTTTCCTGCAACTTGTGAAGAGATGAGGTCATTTTGATGTAGAACTTAGATTTTGCTGAGGTGTCAATATATATGTTCCTTTGCTCTCTCATTTCCTGTAAATTGTGGCTAAATCTAGAGAGGCTTGATTAGATTCTGGTAAGATTTTCCTTTTTTTTTTTTTGGCAAGGCTACCTCATAGGGCTATTTCCCATCAGCAAGGGAAGTGTTCTGAAATACAGCTGACAAAGTGCTGTGGCACAGGTTCCAAACATAGTTGAGTCTGAGGCAAAAAAACTAACCTAAATAATTTTAGCATCCATAAACTTCTGCAAGTACCAAAACAGAAAATACTGTTTTCATGCCAATGAAATACAGAGTTGCTTCTCTAGAGATATCTTCTTCACAATTTAATGATACCAATCAGATAAAATTTCAAACCTTAATTTTTTTTATTACTATACAATAAACAATTCCACTGGCTCCAGTTAAAAATGTTTTGTTAGGCAGGAAGAAAGAGAAAGAGAAAAATAAAAACGTTTTGTGTAGGTGGTTAAAAAAGAACAACTAAAGAGTAACATTTAGTTGTGGTACAGAGCTTTTGTTTTTTTGAGATGGGGGTCTCACTGTTGCCCAGGCTGGCCTTGAACTCCTGGCATCCAGCAATCCTTCTACCTCAGCCTCTGGAGTAGTTTGGACTCGAATTAGCATGTGCCACCGCACCCTGCTATAGCAAATAGTTTTTGTTTCATGGATCACTTAAAACACAGTCCATAAAAAGATGTCCCTTCTTTGATACAACTAGCATGTTATTAAACTTGTTCTGTGAATATGACTTCTATTTGTTAACGTTTTATATGTACTAGGAAAGCTTTTTAGTCAAAGACTTAACAGTGAATGCTTTTGTCAAGAAGCCTCTATTTTATCTGCCTTATAAATCCAAATTTTATATATCGGATTGGCTTAAAGTGGAATAAAGCGGGACTGGGATTACTGTGTGGATTGGGGCTTAACAAGGTCTCAGGCCACACTCCTTTCATTTTATCCTTTTATTCTCAATAAATGTTTGCTAAATTAAACTGAATCCTACCTTCCAGTGAAAATGAAATGTTCCCTCAGTTCAGTCTATTAGCTAACAGACTTATTAGCAAATGGAACTTGCTCAACCACTTAACGTGTTCAGTCCTATAAATAAGTGTGGCAATCAGGGAAATGACCTTAAAAGTTAGCTAGAAATAATAAAATCAATTTAATGTTACTAGTTCTAAAGATGGTAAGTTTTACAATTGCAAATTTAAGTTGTAAGTTATTTCCAAGAAAAAAATGTATTAATGCAGGTCTTTGACATAGCAACTTACCACATTTACAGCACAACATAAATAAGCCTTGCTTCCTGCCTTATCTCCGGCAACCAGACTCAAAACAGAGGTGTCTTTAGGACTTGAACTAGTTAGTTAGTACATAGTAAAATGGTCAGCACATAGTAAAGGATCAATCAGTGAAGAAATAAATGAGAGGTCAAGAACTCAGATGAATGTCCAGAAAACTGGAAAATTTAAGCATTCATCTATTATCAAATGCAGTTTTTGTTTTTTTTAGTCTCTGAGTTGGGAGCTTTTCCTGCCAAGAATACTATTAGGAAAATACACAATGAAGAATTGTGAATGTACAGATCTCATTGAGAAGTGTACTTTTCTCTCTCCTCAAATAAGAGTCTGCTTTATTACTGTAAACTAAGTACAGCTATTGGGAGGGGACCTGAGTCCTGCAGGGTATCCTAGCAATTTAGCCTTGTAACTCTTGCCTAGTAGTCGTACTAAACTGACTTCAAGAGCTTCTGCAGCTCTCTCCGGCTGGTGCTCTTGCATAAATGCTGCTTGCTCTCTCCATCTGGAATGCCACTTTCTTCACTTAACTACTTCTACTCATCATACAAGATTCAGCTCAGGGTTCATCTTCTTAATCAGAGCATTTTCTGATCCTTTTCAATAGCTTCTTTTGTGTTTCCATAACACTGGGGCTTACCTGTATCAAAAAACTTGTACTGAAATTATTTTTGTTTCCTTCACTATAGTACATCGAAGACAGGGATCACATCTGGTCATCTTTGTAACCATAGGGACATACACATTGCCTGATTCATAGTAAAGGCCTATGCAGGCCTCAGCTGTCTCATCTGTAGCGATCTGGTGACTTGAGGTCCATTTCCTTACGTGACATCCCACGATTAAAAGTATCATAAATCACCTTACAGAGCTGGTTATACTGAGGATCTAGTATTGTACCAGAGTCTAACACTATGCCAGGCCGATAAAAGGTGCTAAAAGATATTGGTTGAATTAATAAACTGCCATGTGGACATAAATGCATTATCTGAAGGATGAGGAAAGGAAATGGCAAACCTATAATAAAGACAACGTCTTTCTTCATCCCTGAGCTGTGTTATAATTGAGTCCTAATCCATTATTACTTTTTGACAGTATGATCACAAATAACAAGAAACTACTGAATTGGGGGTTTTACTATATTTAGTCAACTCGAATATCACTGGAAGTAAATAGGCCCTCAGCTGCCACCCAGAGGTTTCCTCTTTTTCCTGAGTTTGACTTATCACCTTTCACTTGAGTAGCTCGTCTGAGTAGCTCATGTCCTCAGCATGTTACTCCTGTTTCACAGGTGGAATTAATGAAAAATAAAGGTTAAGTGCTTAATCCTGGTCAAAGAACTACTTCTGAAAGTTTAGGGGCAGAGTCAATCGGTGCTTTTTTCTATCCTCCAGATTAACTTAATAAGTTCACTCAGCCATTCATTTCTTTAATAAATATTTGAGTCTACTATGAGCTAATTAGTTTGGAATCATTTCAGCCTTGATTCATTCAGCCCTAGCCAGAAATTACTTTTTCAGATGGACAATTTATTCGAAGCCAAAGAGAGGCACTGGGCAGAGACTACTTACTCCAATATGCAACAGTCGCTGTCAAACCCTGGGGCTTACTCAGCTCAATCTCTCCATTTGGACCTCACAGACACTGCTCGGGGCCCTCACTGCCGTGAAGTCAGACAGGACCCCTGGAACCTCACTTCGCCAGGACCGCCTGCTAACACCCTACCCAGGACATTGACACCTAAAGGGGCAGGTGCGTCCCAAACCCAGGACTTCTCAAGGCGCCGGAACAGCCTCTCAGCTTTTCAGAAGAGGAGCAATCAACAAGTGTCTCTGCTTGCCGGGGCTCCCTCTGGAATCCAGACGCTACAATGGTTTGCCTCAATCCATGCTCAATGCTTTACGTGTTAGCCCTCGAGACGGGTGAGACTGGGTGCAACATCCTCGGTGAGCTGGGAAGGGGCATCTTTCTGGGCTGTCCTGCAAACCCCTTCTCGTAGGGAGCCCGGCGTGGGGGTTCAGCATTAAAGAGAACCCTGGGGAGCGGTCGGGGCTGGCATCCCCTCCACTCCGTGTCAAGCCAGGGCGCCTGTAAAGGGTGGCGGCCCTACAGCGCCCACTCCCCAGTCTCCCCTCCCCGCTCCCTCACACCCCCACCCCAGGTCCGGCTCCTGCGCACCGCACCCCCGCCCAGCACGGTCCTCCCCCGACACCCCCCTGTCCAGGTTACCATGCTGGCGGGGCGGCCAGCTGCGGCCGAGGGGCTCTCCGCGCCCCCTTGCACCGCCCCCGCGGAGGAGCGGTGCCGGGTGTCCGGTGTCTACTCCTGCCTGTCTGCTGCAGCGGGGCTTAGCAGAGTTCTCGGTCGGAGAAGCGCACCAGGCAGCGGCAGTAACTGCGGGCCCGGCGTACGGCAGCCATCTTCGCGGGGCAGGGGGCCAGGTCGGGGCGCGCTGGAGCGGCGGCTGCGGCCGGCGACTCGCGAAGCAGAGGGACGCCCGCTGCCAGCCGAGGCCGAGGACCGTGAGAGCACCGGCGCGTCGGCCCTATGGGAGACCCCGGACGCCGCAGCGGAGCTGCCCCCTCAGCTACGGAAACCTGCGCCGCCACTCGGAGCATGCGCAGTGCCGCCGCCGCCCGTCAACGCAGCCCGGCTCCCCAGCCCCGCGCGCTGCCTCGCGGTGGGCGACGGTTACTGGGCCTGCCGCGCGCGGAGTGGGCGCGGCGGTGCGGCTGCCGGTTCGCGGACCTCAGGCTCAACCCACGTGTTTGGCTCAGTGAACACTTAGGCAAACTGGAGCAAGTTTATGTCAGAAATGTTTGTAACCCCGATTTAGGGTCGAGCCCCTAAGGCAAGCCGCCCTGAGGAGCATCGAACTGGACACTCAGGACGGTCTCCACACGGTTCTCGGCGACTCTGGCTTGATCCCCGCGCCAGGAGTGCGGGGAAATAGTGAAGCTCTGCAACAGTTAAAGGCTGTTAGAAGGACTGAACTTTTTAAGAGCACAGAATGATTCTGAAGGATGGAAGGAAAGATGAGCTTGGGTGCCCCGCAGGGGAGAAAGCAAGAAAAGAGCCAATGCGAGGCTTGTTTCACTACAGATCCCATAATGCGCTGGGGGGAAGGACGTGCAGCTTCAGGGCCCCGAAACCCGAGTCCTGCCAGACGACAGCCGCGAGGCACTCTGGGATTTGTAGTCGGTCGCTCTGCGTGCGGCACCGGAACTTACACGCGGTTCCCGCTCCACCCCTTAAAGCCCAAACACCTGAGTTTGCTTAAGTGGAAGGAGTGTTATTTATCAGGCAAAATTGTTATTTTCCCACAATTTAGATCTTTTTCGCTACGGAAGTTTGCATGTTTTGTGAAAACCTATAGCTTTCATAGCGTCTTACCTTCACCTTAGCAAACACTTGAGTTTCTAAAGTTACTGTTAAGCTATGTGCCAGGGACTCAAGAGTCGTCAGGATTCCAAATATTCAGTGAGCTCAGAGTCTAAATTTCTAATCCATTATTTTATTCTGGAGAGTTTAGAAATGCGGTACATCTTTAGTAGAGAAATGGAGAGAAAGAGAGAATGAAGAGTTACAGTAAAGAAGTCCAAATGCCAATGTTTTTATATTAAAATCCACCCTTCGGATGGAGTGTGTTTTTATTTCCACCCTAAGTCAGATATATGTACAAAGTACCTTCATCTTTACAGGAGGCCAAAAATTCAAGTTTTTCGTTTTTAGTGGAGACTTTAGGGCTTAGGTCTCTTAAGGATAAATTTTCTCCCAATTAACTCTTTAAGGATAAATTTCCTCCCAATTAACTCTTTAAAATTGGATTTTGAAATTTAAATTGGGGGGAAAGGGTTAAATCTAAGGATTTACTTATTTATTTTTTTTATTTTTTTTTTTAGCCCCTACACTCAGTTGGCAAAAATCTAAGGATTTATAACAGAAGAAAATGCTAAATGTGACTCTTGAATGCTAAAGATTAGTTTTGCGAACTAAGAATAAGGTACTGAAATATTTTCAGATGAGTTTATTCTATTAAACGTATTAAAGGCTAATTTAAAATAGTCTCGTCAATCAGCACAGATGATTTCTATTATTTTAGCCAGCACTTAAATAAAACTTAATGTAAAGATAAATTGATTATTTTATTAAACCATTGTTACGCTTCATAGCTACTAATTTTCTATTTTAGATCAGTTCCACTATATCCTCCAGCCCTTGTTATATTATCTATTCATATTATATTTACAGGCTTATAATTTTCCTGAGGCCATAACTACTGATCTAAGCAACTTACTAGCCCAGTGAACTCTTGCTAAAGGTAGACCAAGACAGTACCTCTATTTGCCAAGTAGACTTGCTTGGACAATTGAATTTGACTTTTAGTCAAATTGATTATTTTACTTTAAAAATTGCTTTTCATGGGAGTGTAGTATATGTATGATTTGTTAGGCTCCCTCTTGTCTCCCTATTTTTTCACTGATAATGAGTTTCAATTTTCATTTGCCATATGGTTTATATAGGTAAACACAAAGGTAGATAACTGTTATACATGTGTCAAGTGACCAGATGACCCTTGCCTATTGGGGAGAGGAAGTCTAAGGAAGCTTGACTATCTGGTATCTTACAAGTTTCTTCCACAAAAGCAAGAGGAGAGAGGGATTCAGGCCTTTGATACAGATTCTTTCAGTAAAAAACAATCTATCTTTATTCAGTCCATGGACTTCAAAAATAAAAAATAGAGAAAATTGATCAGTTGATGAGCTGGGAAATTTGAGCTCAGAGAAGACACCACAAAGTGTTAAAGGGTTACTGTTTTATTAAAATTGTGTTGCTTAGGGCAATGTGATTCCCCAGACCAGAACAAGCACCAGAAACTCCGGGGGTGGGGCCCAGGAATTTGTTTTAACAAACCCTCCAGGTGGATACAGTGCTTCCTGCCAATGTTTGAGAACCCAAGGCTTAGAAAAATTATGCAAATTTAAATCAGGGCCCAGGAAGCAATTTCTTCTTTCAGAGCGCTTCAGCCTCATGAGGATGATTTAAGGTAATATCTACAACCATAACTTATGACATAAGTGAATATGTTGGCGTTAGATTTCACATAACTAGTTACACAGGACAATTATGTGGAGGATATCTAGCCAGTTTCACACCTGGATGAGAATCCAGTCTTTCAAACTAAAGTTGCTCACACTATAACAACTCTTGAGAGTTCAAATGAATGATGGCAGGCAATCAGTTGCGTTTCTATTTTAAATATTGTTCTGTTGTGGTGAAATATAGGTAACAAAAGTTGCCCTTCTTTCACTATTTTTGAGTATACAATTCAGTGGCATCAGCTGCGTGGTTTTTTTGTTTTGTTTTTTCTGAGGACAGAGTCTCACTCTGTTGCCCAGGCTAGAGCGTCAGCCTGGCTCACAGCAACCTCAAACTCCTGGGCTCAAGCGATCCTCCTGCCTCAGCCTCCCAAGTAGCTGGGACTACAGGCATGCACCACCATGCCCAGCTAATTTATATATATATATATTTTTTTTTTTTTTTAAGTTGGCCAATTAATTTTTTTCTATTTATAGTAGAGACGGGTCTCATTCTTGCTCAGGCTGGCTTCGAATTCCTGACCCTGAGCAATCCTCCCGCCTTGGCCTCCCAGAGTGCTAGGATTACAGGCATGAGCCACCGCGCCCGGCCAGCTGCGTTTTTTTTTAAATCGGGGAAAATGTTGTGACCACGATTCCCTTCGATTAAGTGTACTCAGAACGTGCACCGACAGCCTCCATTTCTAAATCTGGATGACTGACAGAGCCGACGGGTGCCGGGCGTGCGTTTGGAGTGGCGGTCGCGGTCGCCGACGGCTGGCGTACTGGGGGCCCCCTGGGCTCGGGGCCGCCCTCGGCCGGGCGGAGCGGCGCGGCGCCCCGGGGCGAAGCGGCCGCGGTGCAGGGACGCGCAGGGCCAGCGAGGGGAGCTGCAGGGTAACTTTTCCCAGGGAAAGCGGCCGGTCGTCCCCGCTAGAAGCCACCCAGCCTTTTGTTTGTTTTCCTGCCGGAGGCTGGAAAACGGCCGGGTTCCTGCTGCACTACCATGCGCCGTGCGGCCCGCGCGACTCGCCGCACCTCCCGGGCGTCCCGGCACGGAGCCCTCGGCCCGTCCTAGCAGGGGTCGTGCCCCTTCCCAGTCCCGAGCCCGCGGCTGCGCCCGGCTCGCCGAGGAGCAGCGCTCACCGCAGGGGCGGGCCCCCGCCTGTGTCCGCGGCGCCAGTAAGTGGGGCTCGGGGACTTAGGGGCTCCCGCCGGGCGACCTGTCACTCCTGGTGCTGGCCTGGGACTGCGCGGGGGGCCCTGACGGGCGGTCCCGCGGAGGGGCGGAGGGGCCGGAAGAGGCGAATGGGATGCAGTTTCTCTCCGCTGTCCTGTGGGTCTCTCCCCCTGGCACGAAAACTCGTTTCTCCGGAGTTTGGAGGATTTTGATGCGTGTTTACACCTATTCGTCTTGAAGACGGGGAAGATCCTGGCCGATTTGAAGCCCGTCTGGGGGGATGTTGGGGACTTGGTCTTGGAATTTTCCTGACTAGGCCCTTGGCTGTCCCGCAAGGGGTCTGAGCAAGAATCCTCACATACTTCTTTGCAACCATTTTTCACTGGATTTCTTTCTGCTCTGATTTCTTTCCTGTTAATCTGAGTAGATGTTATGAGAAGGATGTCGAACGGTTTCCGAGAGCAGACGTTTCTTTTGTAAATGATAACCTTTTTAAAGTTTGTCGCCAACATCTAATGTAGTTTTATGCATCGTTCTGCAGAGGAGTGTGGTCCTTTCCACTTGCAACTAAACAGAGACCTGCTTTTGCTAAAGCTGGACAAACTGGGCTGAGGGAATACTACCCTGAATTTTGCAAGCAGGGCTGGATTTCTCTAAGGTATTGGTGTTTGTGTTTTTAATTTTGGCCAGGAGCACTCTTTGTAGTAATAGAAGTTTGATAGTTGCAGTTTTCATTTCTCACGTTTCCCTGTGAGTGGGTATTCAAAGGTGTGTTCCAATACTGAATGGTACCATTGCTGAATGTGAAATTTAAATGAGCTTTAAATTTGTGTAGTCAGCCTACAAATTATTAAGAAGAATTTGTGTCTCAATCATATGCTTAACTGTGCTAGGAGTTAACATATGCATAAATATGCACATTCGAAATAGTTTCTAAACAAAGCGCTACAATTTAGTAAAGAATCTTTAAGGACTTCCTATCTATTTGAGGACCAGGAATTGTAAAACACTAGGAAGTGGGTGTAGCAAAGAAACCAGTGCTGGGATTCTTTATTTAAAATGATATCCTGTACCAATCTGAAATCCCTAAGGTCCAGCCTTACAGTGACCCTGCCCACGTTTTGTTTCTACCTTTCCACTTTGCCTTGTCCCCTACTCCCAAGTTAAAACTGGTGGCTGGGGGTGGGGCAGCCACATTTCTTAATAGCAATCTAGTTTCAGATGGTAGAGGGGTGTGTTGGAGGGTTGATGGAGCCTATTTGAGTAGGCAGGCCCCTGCTGTCCTTGCCAAGGGAACTCAGCATTTAGTCACAAAGAAATGGTTTTTCTCACTCATGTTTCTTCCTTACAGACTACGTGTAAATGAGCTCTCAGGATCAAAAACAGGCCTTTTTGGCATTTTATTTATTGAGAGTTCAGCATCATGAAGGTCTTTTTTATAATTTTATTGTTCATTTTATTCTCATTGCTTTTTGAGGTTCTTAGTAAAGGGGGAAATTATGTGCATCTTGAAACTTTGGAATTATCTTTAATCACTTTTTCTTAATTTTCTTGATCCTTTATATCAGTGAGTCATCAAAACCTTTGAAATGTATTTTCTATAGGTCCCTCCCCCTGTATTCTAATCCAGAACCTCACCCTTCCTCTTCTGCTGTTCTAGAATAGCCTTTTAGCTAGCCTCCCAAGCCTGACTCTTAATAAGCCCCCATTGAATATTTGCCAGATAATGAATGACTGAGAAACTTCCCTCTCTTCTTTTCAGCATTCTGTTGCCCATCTAATCTTTTTAGATGATCACTTCATGTCTCTCTTGGCCTTGCAGCTTTCAGTTCCTCCCCATTATCTACTATCTCAAGTCTAAAATAACATGTCTGATTTTTCAAGGCCTTCCATAATCAGCTCACCCTTCCTATCTCAATCCTATTTTCAGTTCAGCATGCATCCTTGTGCTCTGTGCATCTGGTCTTCTTGCAGTCCAGCGAAGGGAACCAGGCTCCTTCCCCCTGCATTGTCACTGCTTGTATTGCTTTCCCTAGAAACTCCCTCCCTTCTCTCTACTCTCCTGTGCAACTCATACTCCTCCTCTGAGGAGGAGCCTGAGTCCTCCTCCTTTCATAATGTCTTCTCTATCTTTAAAGTCACAAGATACTTGTTTGTTAGCCCTTCATTATATTGGCTGTATTGATCTCTAATTGGTTTAGGTTATTTTAAGCCTCTTTAGGGCAGAAGCCATATTTTATACATGCTAATGGAGCATCGTGGGCTTGGAAGTCAGGCAGAATTGGGATCAGGGCCTGACTCTACTAATATTAGTCGTGTGGCCTTGTAGAATTCTCTTAGCATGAATCCTGTCATGTGTAAAATAGGGGAAATGCTTCCCCCAGCCAGTTGTGGTGTGAAGATGGTCTACGGTGCCTACTCAGTAACTGACATACACCTGACAAAGGTTTGCTCATCCCTCAGCAATGACTAGCCGAGTCCTGAACGGGTAGAATATATTTGATCGTGGCTCAGCCTAGAGGCCCAGAGGACCAGGATAACCATGCAGTGAATCCTTAGTAAGTATTATCCTGCCCTTACTTAAAATGGCTTGAGCTTAGATTATTCCTGGCTACAGCTCTGCTTCTGGGATGTGTTGCTATTTTTCCATCTGAACCTTGCCAGGAACACTACTGCCTTAAAAATTTTTTTATTTCGCTGCCACTTTTTCGGCAAGCTCCTCCATTTCATTTCATAGGATCTTGCTGAGTTGGAGTTGTACCTAACTCTTCTATTGATGTCTGCCCTTGTAAAATGCATTTTTCTGCTTGGGAGGGAGTTGGTGGGGACTGTGTGAGTATGTCTATTTGCTTAGTGGTTTCTTGGCAGAATTCTGGGTACAGTGACCTTTCTGTATACCTTGACTTGAAAGCATGTGAATAGTGTCTCACTGGACCGTTGATTCTTTCATTGGTGGTCTTTGGCGGTCCTGGCATTCCGAGAAGGGCCTATGTTTACAGTATCAGAAATTACCTATCCGTGGAACCTCAGTGTTTGTGGTTGATATGGTTGACTTCGCAAATGGGCAAACAGAGGTGTGTGCCAGATGACTTATACAGATATTATTTTGAGGTCATAGTGTAATTGTATCCTAGTTTGTGGTTGTGCTTACCTTCCAAATACAGTTTTAACTTCCTTATCAAAATACACGTGTTCTAGAAAATTACCTTACACAAAGAAGTTGGCGAAGCAAATCATTTTCTGGTGCAAATTGCATTAAAATGCTAAGGAAGTGTTGTGGCAGGAAGCAAATCAGAGATGCATTCGATTGTGGCCAAAGAAGTAGTAAAAGATGCAGTTCAAGTCCACTTGAGGTGGTCACCAAGGTTGATGTGGCATTCACACTCAGTCTTTCTGCTCCTACTGAGCTGCTGCCCAATGTTAGGAAAAGACTACTATTCAATGGATATTAGGGAAATAATCTATCCAAGCAGAAACGTTTCCCTTCTTCATTTCCTTCCACAGACAACTTAAATGTCCTTGCACATTAAGTGCCTGACTCACTGTGCTTTGAAAGTTGAAGTCCTCCTAGGAAGTGTCTTGTGGCGGGACTCACCTGTGCAGGCTAGAATCCAATCCTGTGTTTATTGACCTGTGAAGTTGTATCCGAGTTTAAAGAAAGCACATCTTTGAAGATCTGCCACTATTTTTTTTTTTTAAACTATTTGGACCTAGGAATAGCAAAATGGTCATATACCTTTTACCAAAGAGGAAGTAGGGAGCATTTGATGTATCTTTAAGACTCCATAAAATGTGTGTTATAGGCCAGGTGAGGTGGCTCACGCCTGTAATCCTAGCACTCTGGGAGGCCAAGGCTGGAGGATCGCTTGAGGTCAGGAGTTCAAGACCAGCCTGAGCAAGAGTGAGACTCCATCTCTACTAAAAATAGAAAGAAATTAGCTGCACAACTAAAAATAAATAGAAAAAATTAGCTGAACATGGTGACAGCTGAGCATGGTAGTCCCAGCTACTCAGGAGGCTGAGGCAAAAGAATGGCTTAAGCCCAGGAGTTTGAAGTTGCTGTGAGCTAGGCTGATGCCACGGCACTCTAGCCCAGGCAACAGAGTAAGACTCTGTCTCCAAAAAAGAGCATGTTATAATCACACATTCAAAAAGTAAGCTACTCTGAAGATAACAAGGATTCTGTTCTTCTTACTTGGGTCTCTGGATCTTATCTGTAAAATGAGGATGTTGGATAATCATTAAGGTCCCCTATAGAAAAAAAGTTCTTATTCTATAGTTTGAAGTTTCTTCAACATTATGATTCAAACTTAGGTCCTATTGAATTTACCATTCAAATCTATACTAGTTAGCATTTGGTTATATTTAATCTTTAAATTTTTCCTAGATTTTGGTAGCCCTTGTGGCTACTATAGAAGATAATGCCTCAGAACCAAAAAGATAAAGTATTATGGTGTAATGTCCAACTACGTTTGCCAGTATCATGAAAGTTACTATCTGCACCAACTTGTAGTTCCAAGAAGATAACTGTCATTGTAACTCAATTTTTTGAAATGGAAGGGCTGTAATAGTACCTCACATTTCATTTGGTCCTTTTCCCACCATGCTGAAGACGCTTAGTGGCCACTTGATAAATTGTATAGGGATGGCCCAGAGCTTGTGAGCACCATGCATATTTGAGGAACGATCAGTATGAGTCATGTTTTATCTTTCTCTAGGTGAAGTGTGACCTGCGATAAAGTCCAAATAACATGGCACTACCTTTGTGGCTACTGTAAGAGGTAATGCCCCAGAGCCAAAAGGGTAAAAGTATTATGGTGTGATATCCAACTACATATTTGACAATATCATGAAAGTTACTATCTGCATGAACTTGTAGTTCCCAGAAGGCAGTTGTTAATGGTTGTGTCCTTTTGGACATTGCCTTTGCTTTGCAGGTAAATTTATTAGAGAACGATTTAACTAAGACAAAGCTGAGTGAGAAAAAAGTAAGATATACCTGCCTTCATGTTATCTTTGCTGTTAAAAAGCAAATGTTTTCCTGAATTAGTGTAAAAGTTTTAGGAGTCACAATTTTTATGCCCTAGTCCCAAGATAGTTGTCCAGTTTGCAAAGAATAAGGGTGTGATGGGAGGATGGTAGAGAGGGTGGACTTGGCAGTACAGGAAAATCACCTATGGTCAGAATTGCCCTTTGTGGTTCCGTAAGTTGCTCATTCCCTAATTACTTCATTCAACACATCTTTATTGTGAGCTCCTATTTGTGCCAACTGTGCCAGGTACTCTTGTGGGTTCTGGGATTACAGCTGTGAACATAAAATTTCTTCTCTAACAGAGCTTACATTCTAGGGATAAACATAGTTTTGTATTATATGTAACCCTGAAACCTAGGGGTTATTTTTGAGGTTTCCTCTATTTCAGAGGTGGACAGACTATGACCTACGAGCCAAATCCTTCCTGCTGCCTGTTTTGTGGATAAAGTTGTATTGGAAATACAGCCATACCCATTTATT